TAAAAAGTCATGTTCCATCCTTGGTACAAAAAGGGAAAAAAAATCACTTTTAGTTACTAGCAATTTTTTCACTTCATGATGATATTTACTGCATAGTAGTACTAGTAATAATGGTGGAAAAAGTATACCTGAAAGGCCCCATGCACAAGAAGACCACTTCCRACAATCACTCTCTGATTTTCAAACTGCATATGCACATCTTTCATATTGTTGAGAGCCAAGTAGTGCTACTACTAGTAGTAGCTAGTGTTTGTTGGGTGTCATTGATGGTGTTTGCAGTTCAAGAAAATTGGGTCATTCCCGCATACATAGAACTATGTAGTAAATTTGAGGCTGGCCGGCTTGTTTTATGTACTATCAAATTACATACATTTTGGTTGTCATGGGCCCATGACAACCAGGATCTTTGTATTTGACATAAATATTTTTTGGAATCCTTGACTAGTAGTAAACATTTCCAGTCTCAGGAGCGAAAAAAAATTGTGTTGTTTGAGTGAAGAAATCCTAAATTGTTCCTGCCACTGGAATCTTGTAAAATTACCGTGCAATTATATGGGATTCCAAATTGTTTGTGAAGAAAAAAATCAGGATTGGATGATGGCACTTTTGTGTGGGGATTTACTAGGGAGCCGGCCTGAATTCAAAATTAATTTCCCCCCCTCATTCAATTTTTTTCCCTCCAGAAAAAAAAAAAGTTGCAGTTTCGTCCCCGCGTACTAGACAATGGGTGATTCCCGCAAACATATTAATATGTAAAAATGAGACCGGCCGGCTCGAAAAAGTATGTAAATTACATATTTTTTATTTGGAATCCTTGACTTAACCATATCCAGTCTCGTTTAGTGAAAATTTCAAAGTTCCTGCCACTTTGGAATTTTGTCAAATTGCATGCAATTTATACAGGATTCCAAATTCCGAAAATGGGGGGAAAATATGTAAGTTGAGCTGGAAATCTGTGTCTTCTGTACCACTGAAACGTATTCCCGAAAACATACCTCGAAATATGTTTGCGGGAATCACCCAATGGAATATGAGTTTTTCAAAAAATGCTGGAAAACACTGCACGTCTTCGCAGGCGTTGCGCACCCCTCTAAATTATCACCCCTGCTTTCAGGGAGCCTGCAGAGTCATTAGTATCGTACCACTGAAAGTGCTTCCCGAAAACATACGGTAATATGTATGCGGGAATGACCTATTGGAAGTGCCAATAGTGGGCTGGTGGTACGAGTAGTACTTCTAACATATTAAATTTTCCTTCGATGGAGTACAWGTACCGGTACTATGAGTTTTGATGCGTCACACATCGCACCCCTATAAAATTATGACCCCTGACGTACTGGACGAGTACCGTGCTTACTTACAAGTTAYTCGTACAATTGTTCATACTGTACCGGAAGAAGTTGATGATTCATTCTGCTTCCGTACCTTGGAATTACTTCAGTCCGGTACGTAACATATGGGAGGCTGGGGATTGAAATATTTATGGAGAAACTCTTCATCTTTTATGACCCCTGCTCGTAAGTATGGTACCGTACGGTACGTAGTACATTATTTTACGAATGAAAGTACCGTACTGTATTAAGTAGAAAAKACTACTGTACATAAATACGAGTACTCGTACGGACTGAGAAGTGATACTGAAATAGTGGGCTAGCGGTAGGAGGTACGTACTTTACGTATCGAGTCGTTATTGGAATAAGCGGTAAGTGCCGGTAGGAACCTGAAGATGATTTTAAAAAAGGTTGAAACGTGCACCCACCCCAAATGCCCAAAAGCTTGAAAATTCTCTGTGATCGCGTCGCCATCCATCCATTTTTATCTTCTACATTTTTCATTCGGTCATCTGTGTGTTGCAAATTGCAGACATAATAAAAAATGAACAAACATCAGAATTTTCTTGAAGTTGATCGGATGACCACGTAATTTATGTGAAGTTACCGACCAATCATGTGGCCCGAAGGAAGTGACGAAGAAACGACGTGTAACTTCAGTACTTGGTTGATATGGTAGGTCAGTCCACCGTACTATAGAAAGTACGTAACAGGATGATGATGGCACCAAGAAGTTATTTTCACTTGTCCTAAGCATAGACACGGACTGCTGCACAGCATTCTGTGGAATAACTACGAAGTAGTTCTCTGTGCAACAGCAACATCATTCGTTCACTTGTGCAACCACATTTCGACGCAGCATTGGTGCAGATGCTGTCTTTGTCGGTGTCCTAAATCAAGACACGTTTTACCGAAGASRAAAACAGACATACAATGACAACCATAACGAATGCTTTTACATCTTTCCCCGACATAAATAGCATTGAATTGAACCACATACCAAGCCACGAAGTGCAATCAACTATTTGTCATCCTCACGTTCTATCATCAAGTACTGTTTCCACCATGTTACCGGGCGACAACGGAAACGGGAATGACCACGGAAAGGATTCTGATAGTGTTGGCAGCAGCAGCACTATTGGTTGCTTCGATCTCTTACCTCAGGTCGCTTTCTCTCCGAACCGATTGGCATCGAAAGTTGCCTCAACTTCCACCGTCCAAACCGGCATGGATTTAAAGACGATCAGTGTTAGCCAACCAACTTCGCCCATTTTCTCAACTCCGGTAGGGGGTAGCAAGGATTCCTTCACACCTCCTCCTCCGATGACYAAGAATGTCCACTCCCTCGATCGCGAAATGCGCTCCAGGAAAAGAAGACGGAGAAACATTAGCGGTTGCGWGGACGATTACTCACTCCTCGACTGCCCCCAACTTATCAYGTCTCTCAACATTGAACGAATCAGTCTCCCCCCCCTATCAACCCTCGAGGATTGCGTACACGTCGGCGAGGGCTGTCTTCCCGATACATCTTTTCTTGCCCGAAAGAAATCAAAGAGGCTGCGGAGAGGCCTTGTCATCTGATGACGACGAAATTTGGCTTCGTAGTACAAAATCAAGCTAATTTATTTTTTGGCCACCAAGCAAAGAACCGCCATTAATTCAACCGCATGCTACGGGAAGGGGTCAGCGTTGTGTCGTTTTGTTCAATATTGAAGGACAGGGTCTGGATCTAATTGAATTCTCCGAGGTATGGAACKCGAACGAACGCATCAATCCTTATCATTGATCRCAATACGCAACAGAGAAAACAATTTGGCGTTTTCCGCATGATAATCAAGATTCATTCGTTTCACCGTYCCATCCATTTGAATCCCAACGATCGCAATCAATCAATCAAAATATATGTACCAAAAAATTGTAAATACGTTCCAATCCATTGATGAATACTTGTCCGACTTTTCCAACCAAAAGGAAGAAAACTGTGTTGTTGTAAATTTGTCCAACTGTAACTCCATAATCAACTGTCAGTAACTCAACTGTAATTAAAATCATTTACAACGAAATGGCCCATTACTATTATTGAACTATATCATCGCAGCCCTACTGCACGGGATGATGAATTAGTGGACAGAGCAGAAATATGGTAACATTTTTCCACTGATTGGGTTTAGTAAACAGAAGAATGTGGTTCTCATGTTTGCTGAATTTCCTGATTATTCTTCCCCTTGTTTTTTAAATCAAGAAAGTCATTCATATTTTTGTTTTGCACATACTGCAAGAAGATTGACCCTTGTGRCAATGGTCTGTCTGTAATTCAACATGCTCCTCTAAACTTTTGCCATCACCCACTGATAAGATTCTATGGTTTTGTGAAGAATTCTGTGACYATTTCTTCATTTAGATACCAATAAYGTTGTACCTTTAATTTTTTCCAATTCATGTCAGCCTTTGATAATGATACTTCATTGGACATTAATGTGCTTCTCTTCACTTCTCTTTGCTGCTTAGAAAAAATGTTGGGTTCCYAACTAGAATCTAAGCCAGTCTTTGAGGAATGTGGAATCATAAATAAATTAACCAATAAAAACTAATAATGTGCCAGTACTACTAGTACTAGTTTGCTGGCAGGCAACTAAAATTATTATTTAGATTTAGATAATCTAAAAGTGGGTCTGAGGTGGTGTATCCTAAATAATCTTAAAATTGGATATGTAATCTATTTTTCCCTGTTTGTCTGTCAAAAGCAATTGTGTACTATAACAGGAATGACCCATTACTATGAATCCACTAATAGTTTCCCACACTTATCAAATGGTTCCCATCGTTAATTTAATGATCCCATCCTTCATTTTTCAAATACAAATTGTACAGATTTCTACACAATGGTTTTGCTCTCCATTTTCAACATGATCATTGACAAATGACTCACCTGACGAGAAAGAAGCAGCTACCGTGCACAGTGGTGCACGTGCTATTTGGCTTGAATTTTTGTATCCCACAAGTTGAGTCTTGTGCCCGTTTGTTCACCACCACGATGGCAGAAGAAGACAAATGGCTTCTCGATGATCTCAGTGCCCCTGCCGCAGTCATGTACTTCAAATGATGACTTCAAATGGCCCATGAGCTCCTTGCTGGAGCTGCAACCATACCCACCGTGGTCATGGCGGCCATTTAATGAGAGTGCCTCGGATTAGATGCTCCAAATGTCGAAGTTGTCACTCCTGTTTTCTCCAATGTTGCCATACGATTGAACACGTCGTTGTTGGATGTTTGAATTGGGCAAGCTTGAATGAGTCAAATCTAGTGTTCTCTATCTATTCTCCATTCATCTTTCAAAATTTAAGCTCTCTTCCTAGCTCTGATAATCATGGCCCTCGTGCCGGAAGTCACTCATCTTACAATCTTTCAGTTTGCTTCAGCTTGACGCTTCCAGTTGTTCGTTCCTCCTGATAAGCATCATATCTTTAGACCTCCGCTTCATCAACCAATCTACATTTATCACACTGATTTAGCTCGCCATTTCGCCTCGCATGCTTCTACTGCACGCTGGGCGTGAATCACACTTTCTCTGTTTCAACAGTTGCGTACGGTATGGCACAACAGCCGAGAAGAAAACAGGCAGGCCTTTGTGTTGCGTTCTACAGTACGTGTGTTATGAACCTAATGTCGTTTTTAAGTGAGTGTTTACTGATCGTGTTGTCACTATCACAGTCCGTGCCCGGACAAGAATTCGTTGCAGGCAGCCGCAAACTCCTCCGGCATTTGGTTGACGAGGTTGAGGGTCGACCTTTCCCCCCCGAGTGTCACGACCTCGAGACCGCCGTTGCTTCCAAACATCCTGCAAGCCTGCTCGAAGCGCTCCGTCCCGTCGAGGCCAAAGGCATCAAACAGGGTGGCACAGGCGGCTCCCTTGAGGCAGAGAAACCGACACGGTCGGCCTTTTTCGTCGTCGCCGCTTTCCTTGTTGCGGTGGATCCGTTCCACCGCGGCCACAAAGTTATAGTCGTTGCCGCCCTCGATGCTGATCCCTTTGGCGTAGCGGACCCGCCGGTTTGAGAGGTACTCGATCTCGGAGCGGACTACCCGCAGGTTGAGCTCGTTGTCCAGCCAGGTGCTCCGCTTCGCGTGGAGTCCCGCCAGGTGCGATCCATCGTCCTCCAGCACAAAGGAATCCGGGATGGATCCGTTGCCTCCAGAAGCGGTCATTCCTCTGGCTCCGGGATTGAACCACGGGTTTGCCAGGATCCCCGCCCGGATCGCTCCGGGGTGCCGCGCGGCAAGAGAGAGGCAGAAATAGTTGCCGAGGAGCGATCCGATGGCGACGTAGTCGTGCCCCCGCTGGTGTTGGTTTTGGTCTGTGGTGGTGGCGTCATCGCTGGCGCTCGTCGCGAGAGCGGCACCCCTTTCCAGTATGGAATCGGCGGCTTGCAGGCAGGCATCGGACAGCTCGTCGATGGTGCAGGACCTGGGCGGGTTCTCGCTCGCTCCGTAACCGGGAATGTCAAAGGCAATGACCGCGCGTCCCCCCTCGTTGCTGCTGCCGGCCCCGGCTCCCCCCGACGCCAGGAGCGGGAGCACCTCGGAAAACTCGTCGGACGACCGGGGGGACATGTGGAAACACAAAACCGGTGGCCTTCGGTGTTCGTTGGCAGCGGTGTCGGTGGTGCTCCTCCCGTCGCTGATCAGATAGAAGACGGCACCTAGGGCGGTTTGGATCATGCCGCGATGGGTCACGGGAAGCTTCATTTTGTGCCCACTTCCGTTGGTTGGTGGCTTCTCTGGTCACGTTGGGTCGGCGCCTGTGGCATCTTGTTGCAATGCAAGGTTGCACTGACGATGCTGGTATTGGGCCATTCCCGAAAACATCGGAAGTCGAACCAGACCTTATTTTTAATGTTCTTTGTACGTATTGTTGGAAACAAATCAAGTGAGTACGTACGTACTACTCTCAGTATGTAATGGGTCATTCCCGTAAACATAGAATCTATGCTGACATACTTTACGTCTATGACTCAACGGGAATAAGTATGTAAAGGCATAGAATCATAGAAAATGAATTATGGCGCGCTACATGTGCTTAATTTAGGAATATGGAATTTTGCTTGAAATTAACAGAAAATAACTGCATTCTCGCCAAATATTGAGAACTCCGAAACGCAAAGTATTGAGAACACATGGTGCCAGCAAGCCGGGGGAGCCCGCCAAAACAAATCTAAAGTGTCACAAAGAGCGCCAAAACAAATCCAACGAGCCAGGTGAACCACGAGAACCACCACGACCAGTTCACTATACAAAATCTGAAGTAACTGGCCGGAATAGCTAGCATCCTCACTGAAAGGGCATCGATACCATGGAAGAACCCCTTCTGGAATCATGTCAACAGGAATTAAAAGTTGAGAACCCTGAGAACCCCCTTCCCCCGGGGGGGGAGGAACTGCTTGGAATGCAGCAAATCACGTGTTGTTTCCGGCATCGATTTGCATGCAGCAAATCACGTGTAGTTTCCGGCATCGATTCCGACAGCACCACAAAAAGAACAACGTCGATTCCTCCACAACATCGATCCGCAAAAAGAACAATCAATCCAGCAAGATGGTTCTAACAAGAAACGCACAGCAGCAGCAGCAACAAGAAGCTCCTCCAGCAGCACCAGGAGGAGGTCATAGGTCCGGAACAACCAACTATTCCACTCAGGAAACAATTGACTTGATGTAYGYSATCTTGGCAAGGCTTCCTATTGGGAGTGACCAGTGGAATGAAGTAGAAGCCACTCATGCCCAGAACTATCCCTATGCCAACAGGGACGTCCATTCCATTCGCAGGAAGTTTGCATCCCTTCATAGGAAGAACATCCCTACTGGAGACCCTAACTGTCCTTTAGCAGTGAGACTTGCCAAGAG